ACCTTGAGCTATTCAGAATCGAATTCCTGGAGTGAGCAGTGAGGTAGCCTGCAATATTTATTTTATTTATTTATTTTATTTCCAATTTATATACCGCCCTTCTCCCTGAGGACTTAGGGCGGTGTATAGCTAGAATTAAGAACATGAAATACAAATATTAAAAAACAATTAAAATATATATAAATTTGGCCCAAAAATTAAAAATCACAAACCAATTAAAAAATTTTAAAATTTCTTCTTAAGCCAGCCCGGCTTGCTGGAAAAAGTGGGTTTTAAGGGCACGGTGGAAGGCGCTGAAGTCTTGGATTCTCCTTATTTCTGGGGGCAACTGATTCCAGAAGGTAGGTGCCCCCACAGAGAAGGCCCTCCCCCTGGAGGTCACCCGCCTACATTGATTGGCTGATGGCACCCTGAGGAGGCCCTCTCTATGGGAGCGCACGGGTCAATGGGAGGTCGTCGGTAGCAGCAGGCGGTCTCGAAGATAGCTAGGCCCTATATGCATTCAAACTACTCATCAGGATTGTACTCCTGGCTGTGGGCAGAGTTTGCTGGAAATACTGCATTATAACCACCATGCCACCAGGGTTCCTAATGCTAATTTAGAGATTACCTTGCAATATGCATTTTTAGGAACCACGACCCAGGCTAATGCCCTCTGTTTCGCTTTTGTTCCAGCAGGAGTATCTGCTGTCCTGATTATCGAAATTCACTGGCTTTTTGCATACTGATATTACTGATATCTGTTTCTCTATGAATTCTTCAAAATGGTCCTGCTGTTAATGTACAGTACGGGATAATTTCTCCTGACAGCCATCAGCTTCGACAGGTGTGTTTTGGTCCTTTCTTCAATTTGGTATTGATGCCACCAGCTGGTGCATCTGTTCAATATTGTCATCTGGGTCATTTCCTTCATCCTCTGTGCAATTCACTTCATAATTGTAGCTGTTGCTGGATATGAACAGACGTATACTCTGATGTATCCATTCATGATTAATGCTTTGCATTGTCCCCCACTTATGACCATCTCCAGTGTCATCTTGCTCATGAAAATCTGCTTCATATCCCAAAGCCAAAGGCAGAGGAAACTTTTGACAATAATTTTGCTCACTCTTTTCATCTCCTTAGTCTTTGCTTTCCCATTAAATACCTTTCATTTGTTTTGTTTGTTTGTTTGTTTGTTTGTTTTGCTTTTTTTGTTTTAATTTGATTTATATGCCGCCCTTCTCCGGAGACTCAGGGCGGCTTACAAAGTGTTAAGCAATAGCCTTCATACTTTTGTATATTTATACAAAGTCAGCTTATTGCCCCCACAAACTGGCTCCTTAATTTACCTACCTTAGAAAGGATGGAAGGCTGAGTCAACCTTGAGCCTGGTGAGATTCGAACTTACAGTGATTGCAGACAGCTGGTGTTAATCACAATGCTATCAGTCTGCTGAGCCACCAGACTCCTTTTGAGGAGTCCATGTTGGCTTCTAGTTATAACTTTGTTTGTTTGTACGTGTTCACAGATTTGTTGCTTATTTCTTCCAAGAACTTCCCAAGTATTGATGTCAGGCTGATTGGTCTGTAATTCATATACTCATATAGAAACAAAAAGGAATTGTTTGTAGTTAACAATTCTCAAAGCAGAAACAAAATCAAATTAAAAAAAAAACAAAAACAGATCATGCCAAACAAATTTTATTTCATTCTTTGACAAAATGACTCAATTAGTGGATAAGTGAAATGTTGTGGACATAGTATACTTAGACTTCAGTAAAGCATTTGATAAAGTAGACCACAACCTACTTCTTGATAAACTAGAAAAATGTGGGATAGACAGCATCATCACTAGATGGATTTGTAACTGGCTGACAAATGATGGCCATGATGGCTTTTGCAAAGATACCTGGACCGATTGAGGTGTGCTATTTTTACATCTCATTTGTGACAAAATAGCTCCTTGTAATACCATTTGAGATTATTATCATGATAATCTACATTTGTAATAATTATTCAAAAATTGAACAAGTTTATTAATGTATATGAAATTTAAGATTTGGGATGCTAAGTGATACCAGCTACAGTAAAAAAAATTTTTTTAATTTGATTTGTATGCCGCCCTTCTCCGGAGACTCAGGGCGGCTTACAATGTGCTAAGCAATAGCCTTCATCCTTTTGTATATTTATACAAAGTCAGTTTATTGCCCCCACAACTGGGTCCTCAATTTACCTACCTTAGAAAGGATGGAAGGCTGAGTCAACCTTGAGCCTTGGCGATGTTCGAACCCTGCAGTAATTGCAGGCAGCTGGTCTTAATAACCAGCTTAATAACAGGGTGCCTTAAACCACTGTACTACCAAGGCTCTGTAATTCCCTTAACATTCCTTTTTTTCCCCCTTTACACCCTTTACTTTTTTTTTTTTTAATTTGATTTATATGCCGCCCTTCTCCGGAGACTCAGGGCGGCTTACAATGCATTAAGCAATAGCCTTCATACTTTTGTATATTTATACAAAGTCAGCTTATTGCCCCCACAAACTGGGTCCTCATTTCACCTACCTTAGAAAGGATGGAAGGCTGAGTCAACCTTGAGCCTTGGAGAGATTCGAACCAGCAGTAAATTGCAGGCAGCTGTGTTAATAACAGGGTGCGTAACCACTGTACTATCAAGGCTCTTGATATGGATCACAATAGCTGCATGTATGAACTATTGCAAGAAGGCTAGTTTTAATAGTTCAATATTCTGTTAAGTATGCTGCATTATGGTATTATATCTTTTCAACAGGGGATGCCATAAATCTGTCTAATCATTTTGCAAAATTCAAAATTGATTTTCTGTTATACATTAAGCCAACTGGTGGCATGGTTCCCATTGGAAAGAGTAAAAGTTTCAAACCAGTGAATTATTATATGGTTGTGCTTAATAGTCATCATAAAATAAAGATAGCAATAGTAATAGTACTTAGACTTACCGGTATATACCGCTTTACAGTGCTTTATATCCCTCTCTAAACAGTTTACAGAGTCAGCATCTTGCCCCCAACAATCTGGGTCCTCATTTGATTGACCTCAGAAGGATGGAAGGCTGAGTCAACCTTGAGCCGGTGAGACCCAAACTGCCAAACTGCTGGCATCTGGTGATCAGCAGAAGTAGCCTGCGGTACTGCATTCTAACCACAGTGCCACCATGGCTCTTGCAGTGTCCCTAAATCAGGGATCAGCAACCCACAGCTCTGGAGCCGCATGTGGCTCTTTCGTCCCTCTGCTGCAGCTCCCTGTCACCAGTCGGCTCCACAATTGATAGAGCTTTCTGTTGGGACAAGTAGAGGAAAAAGGATGCTGCGCTAGGAGACTCTATGGTGGGGGAACCGGACTTCCGGTCAGTAGAGGAAAAAGGACGCTGCGCTAGGAGGAGACTCTATGGTGGGGGAACTTCTGGTTGGCTCCAGAATTGAACAGGGGGGCTTCTGGTTAGGACCTTTGTGGCTCTTTGAGTGTTTAAGGTTGCTGACCCCTGTCCTAAATGAAGACAATTAATGTATTCTTCTGGCTCATTGGTTACCTAAAAGCTTTTTTAGATATAAGTACTGTCCCTCTCAGACAAGTTTACTCCTGCATAAGTTCTTCAAGAACTGAGCTGTGGTGCCGCAGTGATTAGAATGCAGTATCGCAGGCTAATTCTGCCAACTGCTAGCAGTTCGATTCTGACAGGCTCAAGGTGGACTCAGCCTTCCATCCTTCTGAGGTGGGTAAAATGAGGACCCAGATTATTGGGGGCAATATGCTGACTCTGTAAACCGCTTAGAGAGGGTTGTGAAGCACTGTGAAGCTGTATATAAGTCTAAATGCTATTGTTATTGCTATTAGTACCATTATATACTGCCTTGCTAATACCACACTTGAATACTGCATCCAGTTCTGGTCTCCACAATACAAAAAAGATGGTGAGACTCCAGAAAGAGTACAGAGAAGAGCAACAAACATGATTGGGGAGGGGTCTATGATGAACAGTTGCATGAATTGGGTAAATCTAGTCGAACAAGGAAAAGAACTAGGAGTGACATGATAGCAGTCTTCTAATATTCAAGCGGGATAAAATGTTCTCCAAAGCACCTGAGTGCAAATCAAGAAGTAACAGATGGAAACTTATCAAAGAACAATCCAACCATGAACAAAGGAGAAATTTTCAGACTATGAGAACAATGAATCAGTGGAACAGCAGGGGTGCTATTCAACAGGTTCTGACAGGTTCAGGAGAACCGGTAGCGGAAATTTTGAGTAGTTCGGAGAACCGGCAAATGCCACCTCAGGCTGGCCCCAGAGTGGGGTGGGTATTATGGAGATTTTGCAGTATCCTTCCCCCAGGAGTGAGGAGGGAATAGGGATTTTGCAGTATCCTTCCCCTGCCACACCACCAAGCCATGCCCACCAAGCCACGCCATGCCCACCAAGCCACGCCATGCCCACCAAGCCACGCCCACAGAACCGGTAGTAAAAAAAAAATTGAATTCTACCACTGTGGAACAGCCTGCCTTCCGAAGGTGTGGGTACTCCATCACTGGTTTTTTTTTTTTTTTTTAAATTTGATTTATATGCCGCCCTTCTCCGGAGACTCAGGGCGGCTTACAATGCATTAAGCAATAGCCTTCATTCTTTTGTATATTTTATACAAAGTCAGCTTATTGCCCCCACAAACTGGGTCCTCATTTCACCTACCTTAGAAAGGATGGAAGGCTGAGTCAACCTTGAGCCTGGGGAGATTCGAACCAGCAGAAATTGCAGGCAGCTGTGTTAATAACAGGGTGCACTAAACCACTGTACTATCAAGGCTCTTTTAAGCGTTTTTAAGAAGATATTGGGTAATCATTTGTATGGAATGGTACAGGGTTTCCTGCTTGGGTAGGGAAATGACTACTAGACCACCACCTCAATTATTCTGTATTCAATTCTCTCTTCTGGCAGTCCTGTATTTGCCACAGCAAATTTTTTCTGAATAAAAGATCAGGTCCTAGCAGGGAGCTATAAAAATATAGATTTTTTCCCCCCACTCTTGTGTGTACATCATATCTAGATATCAACCGGGACCTCTGTTTTCTCTTCACTCTCTTCTTCCTCCTTGAAAAGCGTTTGGAGATTTATTTTTAGGTTGTACATAGAACGATGTTCCTTCCTTCTCCCCAGCAGAAAATAGATCAACGGATTAACACTGCTGTTTAGACAGGCAAATAAGTAGCCAAATGTATGTAAATTGAAATATTTGTTGCTGGAAATAACATTGAGGGCATAAATGGCAATTGGTGGGAAAGAAAAGATGAGGAAGAAAAACAGGGAAAGCAAAATGGCTGTGAGGAGCTTTCTTCGTTTCTCCATCTGTGATTTAACATAGCCTTTGAAGAGGAGGGCCAGAGTGGAGACCACCATGAGTGGGATGCAAACTGCGATATATATGAACAGGTGATAGAATAGGCTGAAGTTTCGACGGCGCTTAACCAAAATCAGAGTGTAATGAATTCCACAGAAGAGGATGGAGACTATCCAAGTAACGACACAGACGATGGTGGACAAGTATGGGGGCTGATGACATCGATACCAAATTGGGAAGAAAAGAGCCAAACATCGGTCGATGCTAATGATAGTCAGAAGAAGTTGACCAGTGCAATAATTGAATACTAAACCTTCTATGATTTCTATCAGAGAATCTCCGATCGTCATGTGCAGAATTGCAGAGATAAATAGGAATAGGAGAGTCCCACTGTCCGCCACAGCCAAATTAAGAATGTACACGGTGAAAGAATTCCTTCTCATCCGGCAACGCAAAACTTGGATGACAGCTCCATTTCCAATAATCCCTGGAATACAGATTAAAATGATTAAAGAATAGATTATGGTCCCAAGAAATCCAGGCAGATAAAATTTGCTCTTCGAGTGGATAGCCTCAGTGTTATGGTGTTCCGTATAATTGAAGGTCAGGTTTCCCATTTTAGAGTCCATTATTCCAGAAAAGTTGGTTGTCATGTTCTGTGGAGTTGAATCTTTTTTTAAAATTTAATTTCTGCTTCTTGTTGAGGATCAGTGAGGGATCCAGACAGCTAAAGGACAAACCATTTACCTTTAGTTTAGTCAACAGACACCAAATGACATTTGCATCTGTTCTGGTTTTTCTGAGAAGTATGGCAGAGGATGTGGAAAATTTCTTCAGAAGTTCTTCAGAAGAAGTCACTTGGGTAATGCTTTTGTGGACTTCTGCATTGCTTCTCACTCAAGAATACAGATGTGGCAACATCAATGTCTTTAGATTATTTTATCCTTTCAATATGGGTCAATTCAGCATCTGACATATATAACTCTTCAGAACTCATGAAGAATTTGAATCTCCCAAAATAAAGGACTTGTTTCACCTCAATGCCTCTCCATACAAGCAAAGGAGAAACATCTCATGGAGGATAGTTTATTTGACCACGTTGCCATATAAGAGAAGAATTATTTTTTTTTCAGTTTTGTGGTGAGTTTGTTTCCTCTGGTTCTTCACAAGAAATGTATAATATCTAAAATGAAAAGAAAACAATAGTGATAGGATTGTTTTAATGGCATACAATACAACATGGATCCTTATTTTAAAATGTAACTAAAATGGCTGTAGATGGTTATTAATCAGAATTCTTATCCTTCCCAAAAGTTCTTTTTGGAGGACCACATGTAAATAGCAGAACATTTAATAAAACTCTGGTTCAGTGTTTCTCAAACTTGGCAAGTTTAAGGTAGATGGACTTCAACTCCCAGAATTCATCAGCCAGACCTGCTGGCAAGGGGATTTTGGGAGTTGAAGTCCAGCAATCTTAAAGCTGTCAAGGTTGAGAAATTGCTCTGGTTGGTTTATATTTGGTCACTGATTACCCCCATTTTTTAAAAAAATAGCCCACAGTGGATGTCAGCACTTAAGAGATAAGGAGCTTATTGAAAGAAGCAGCCAACTATCTAGATGGCTCTATTCATAAGCAAAGCAAATACTGCAGACAGGAATCCATTCAAGACAGGATATCTTGAAACTGCTTGCAGCAAAGTTTGACAGCTAACAAAAGCAGAGTGATAGGATTAAAAGCAGCCCTTCAGCCAAGATCCAACGGAGGACGAAAGCCATTAAGCCAGAGGTTAACCAGATTAGCTCAGAAAAGCATCTAGGATTGCATTTCGTCTTTTGCCTATATAGCCAGCTATGACCCCCTACATAACCTCTACATGACCCCATAGGAATCTGACAACAGCCAATAGAATATTAAAGGACATGTTCTTGCACAGGAACAGGAAGCTCAAATACAAAGCCCAAAGAAGGTATAAACCATACCCCCACTCCCCCATTTTGTCAGCTGCACCAGAACCACAAATGCTGCTGGTTCTGCTTCATCAATAAACCATCTTTCCAATCAGCCTCCATGTTTCCAGTCTCTTTCTCCCAGCTTGGAAGTGAACCAGGTAGATATTTCTTCCAACAGTGGGGAGAAAGATCAGAGAAAATGACAAGAAAGGAACAACCAAAAGGGACAAGAACATTTGGCAGAATAGGAGACAATTATTGAAGTATCTCTGCTGACCTGAAAAGCATCATCAAGGAGTTCAGTTGCACAACACAAAGACTTATCCCGAGAAAGTTCTTCAGAATGAAAATCAGAAGCTTAGAGTTGGGTCATGGGTAGGAAAAAGAAAAATTCAGCAAGAGAAGAGGACCTGAAAAGCGCATCTTCACAAACTTTCGGACAAACGTTTGAAAGGAAAGGATGTTCTTGATGAGTAACCACATTTGTCCCAAGCAGCAAGAGAAGAATAGTGGGTCACTGAAGATGGGTTGTGGGACCACATGGTCAACACTGCGACTTCCCTAAAAAAGGAGTGGTCCTGTGCTTAAAATTTTGCAGTGGTAAAAAATGGAAATGCTCTAAATCACCCTATAGTGCAGAGGTGTCAAACTCAAGGCCCAGGGGCCAGATCCGGTCCATGTGGTGCTTAGATCTGGCCCAGATCTTAGGGACTGCCCTGGAAACATGGAAGGACCGGCCCGCAGTGCTTCTGCCACTGAAAATGGAGCTCAGGAGGGCCACGTGCGGCCCTCTCGAGCACCGTTTTCCCTGGCGGTGGGTTGCAGGAGGCCGTAGTGGCCAAAAACAGATCTTGGGAGCCAATTTTCGCTGCCAAAGCACTCAGGTCACCACAGGCGCCCCCGACATGAGTGACATCAAGCTGACCATGCCCACCCTGGCCCCCGGAGGTCAAACACAACCCTGAGGCATCCCTCAATGAAATCGAGATGCATCAGAATTGTCCACATAATCTCCAACCAGTGGTGGGTTGCTCTCGGTTTGCACCGGTTCGCAAGAACCGGTAATAACAATTTGTAGTAGTTCTGAGAACCGGTAATAACATTGGCTGGCCATGCCCCCGAACTGGTCCCCGGCCGGGTCACAGCTTGCTTACCCCGTCCATCTCATCAGAGGCTTTTTTTTTAAAAAAAAAAAAACTTTTAAAAGCATTTTTTCTACAACCTCTTCGGCCGAAAAAATGCTTTTAAAAGTTAAAAAAAAAAAGCCTCTGATGCTCAGCTGAAGAGGTGGTAAAAAAAATGCTTTGAAAAGCCTCTGCTGATCTCAGCTGAGTTGCCTGATCGGTAGAGGCTTTTCAAAGCATTTTTTCCTGCAACCTCTTAAGGTTGTAGAAAAAAATGCTTTTCAAAATATTTTATTTTTTTTGAATATGACCTGATTTTATTTTATTTTATTTTATTTTTTTATTTTTTTATTTAATAAACAAACATACATATACAGACGTAGACATTTAAACAAACTATACATAAACTAACTATACAGTAAAATCAAGTCATACAGCTTGAACTTTGAAAATAGAGCTACTTCGGTAATTATATATCTATATATCTGTGTATATTTATCCTTCATCATGTATCAATGTTTATACAACGATATTTCATTTTATTTCCTTATTTTTGTATCATTGGGTGGTATTCCCTTATTTCGTGTTCTTTTTATCTAACCAGTTGTACCATTTTTGCCAAATTAAGTAATAATCTGAATCTTCTTTTCCCTGTATTTCTTTGGTAAGTTTGTCCATTTCCGCACATTCCATTGTTTTTTGTATTATTTTTTCCTCTGATGGCATATCCTCCAGTTTCCACATTTGTGCGAAAGTGATTCTAGCTGCGGTCAGGATGTGTATTATCAAGTATTGTGTCTCTTTTTTATAGTCCTTTGTCAGTATTCCTAATAGGGCCTAGCTATCTTCGAGACCGCCTGCTGCCACCGACGACCTCCCATCGACCCGTGCGCTCTCACAGAGAGGGCCTCCTCGGGGTGCCATCAGCCAAACAGTGCAGGCTGGTGACCCCCAGGGGGAGGGCCTTCTCTGTGGGGGCTCCCACCCTCTGGAATCAATTGTCTCCAGAGATAAGGAGAATCCAAGACCTCAGTGCCTTCCGCCGTGCCCTTAAAACCTTCCTTTTCCAGCAAGCTGGGCTGGCCTAATTTTTAAAGTGTTTTTAAGTGTTTTGTTTATTGTTTTTAATTAATGGGGCCAAATTTATATATATATATATTTTAACCGTATTTTAATATTTGTACTTGATGTTTTTACTTGGCTGTTCACCGCCCTGAGTCCTCAGGGAGAAGGGCGGTATACAAATTCAAAATAAAATAAAAATAAAAATAAAATAATAGATATGTTTCCGGTCTGAGGGGCACTTTTTGGGTGGTGATTTCTTCCAGCTGATTTTGAATTGTTTTCCAAAATTTTTGACCTTTGGGCATGACCACCACATGTGGTAGTAGGTCACGCCCACCCAGTCACATTACCCTCCACCAAGCCATGCCCACAAAATAAGCCACACCCACAGAACCAGTAGTAAAAAAAGAGCCCACTCCTGTTTCCAACCAGATGTGAAAACTCAGGGCTATTACTGCTTTTACTGCAAGCAGGTTGGCATGAAGATATGCCTGGTTATGTTGGCTAGGTTTTACAGTGCTGAGGAAATACATGTAGATATGATTAACTCCTCCACTCAACTGTTTATCTGATCTTTTTAGTACAGTAACTAATCATCTGTGATGGATCTTTTTCTGAAAGAGATGTGATATCAAATAATCATATTCTAGCAGTTTCTGAGGCTCTGAACTACGAGTTCCTAGCCAACATAACCATGCATATCTTCACACCAACCTGCTTGCAGTAAAAGCAGTAAACTTTCTGACAAAAGTTTGAAAGGAAAGGATGTTCTTTTTTATATATATATAAAGTTTTTTATTTTTTATTTTTCAAAATACAAAGATTCCATATTTTCTTAAACAGTGTGTCATTTGGGTTCAAATATCTCTGTGCACCAACCTTCAACATTTACAAGTTCATTCACTTTAGTATAATTCTCTAATCTTAAAATTATAGAATATTAAACAATTAAACGTTATAAGCCTGTTTTTCCTCTTACTGTCTTCTAGTAAAAATACAATAATAATAATAGCATTACACATAATTAACCTCCTCATCCTAATACTAACAATTTTCATCTTATTTTTACCTCTATCTTAACATATTTATTTATTTATTATTTATTTATTTATTTTATTTCTATACCGCCCTTCTCCCGAAGGACTCAGGGCGGTGTACAGCCTATTTAAAAACACAAAGACAGACAAAATTTAAAAATAATTAAAATTATTAAACAATAGACCCAATTTATAAAACCCCAAATTTAAAATCCCATTTAAAACCAATTAAAATCTTTACATTGATAGCCCAGCCTGGCGGAACAACATGGTTTTGAGGGCATAGCGAAATACACGGAGATCAGAGATTTTACGAATTTCTGGGGGCAGTTCATTCCAAAGGGCAGGGGCTCCCACAGAGAAGGCTCTCCCCCTGGGTGTCGCCAGCCGACATAATTTGGCCGATGGCACCCTGAGGAGACCCTCTCTGTGGGAGTGAACTGGCCGGTGGGAGGCTACTGGTGGCAGAAGACAGTCTCGAAGGTATCCAGGTCCAATGCCATGGAGCGCTTTAAAGGTGGTAACCAACACCTTGAATCGCACCCGGAAGACCACTGGGAGCCAGTGCAGCTCGCGCAGGAGGAGTGTCACATGGGCACAATGAGTTGCGCCCATAACCACCCGCGTGGCTGCAATATTTTCTATTGTTCTTTAATCTTTTATTTCCAGTTTCCATTTTTACTCTCTAACCATTGATAAAATACTTCCCATATCATATAATATTC